CGCCCCTCCCTCGCCACCTTCAAGACCCATCTCAAGACCCTCCTCTTCGACCGTGCTTTTGATCTCCTTGCTAACCACCCCTGCCCTCCACCCTTCCCCATCCCGACCCCCAGCTCGGGTCCATAACGCTGTCTGTCCCGATGTGAAAGGTGCTACACAAATGTAATTTTGTTGTTGTTGTTATATGTGTGTAGAAGGACCTTTGGCCCACTTGATCTCATCTGTCCAAAATACCAACCTATCTTCCCATCACAAGCTGCTTCCTAAATGAGTTCAGCACCCTTGCCTCGGGCAGGTGAACCTTTTCAGTGAAGTCAATGTGTAGTGGCCTCAAACACCGATGGGTGTTCACTTCTAACCTTATGATAATAATAATAATACTTGCATTTGATATAGCGCTTTTCACGTCTTCTAGATGTCTCAAAGTGCTCCACAGAATATACTGTAAAGTGAATTGACTGTATATTTGTAGGCGAAATGCGGCAGCCAATTGCGCACAGCAGTGTCCCACAGTCATGGATTGAAGCACCCAATTTTTTTTTTTCTTGAGGGATTGTTATCAGGCGTGTGGAGTAAGGAAACTTGTCCAAGGTTTCGCCCTGCTGGGAATCGAACCCAGGCCTCTCACTTGCGCAGCGAGTGCTCTAACCATTGAGCTACAATGATCAGTGATCTGATAAAACTGGAACTGGCAAGCAGCAGAACAGTTATTTATCAAGTTTAGATTGCTGTATCTTTTGGAGATGTACATTAAGGACTATGCCTGTAGCTATGGTTAAACTAATTTCTGGGAAGGAGACGGCATCAGAGTAGAATTCCCACAAAGCCAGTGGTGATGCAAATCCAATTACCTGCAGCATTCAATATTTATCAATCCTTTTTTGAACCCTGTGTGAATATTGTACTTTGAACAGCAAGATCCTCCTATTTTTCAGAATATTGTTGAGCAGTCATTGCAATTATACTGCTTATGACTGTAATAAGTTCACTGGCCTGAAGTGAGCCAAATTCAGCAAGGTAGCGTTTATGTTAGCAGCATTGCTGCCAACAGCATACCTGCCTTCGAGGCCCGAAACTTAAAAGATCTACTCTGAGAGCTTGGCAACAATTGCACTTGCGTGCGTTCCCACACGCAAAGTTGGTTGTTATGTCGTAATGTAATCAGGGCGGGATTCCAGCTCCTTAAGCTACTGTGGAGACGGTTCTATTAGTATCCTGCAATATAAACAAACCTAGTCTTTTCCTTTGCAAGACCAAGGTTTCACATGATCACAACAGGGACCAGGCACACTGCTGTGTGCAATTAGCTACCGTCTTTTGCCCACGAGGCATAGTCAATCCACATCACAATATATTCTGTGAAGCGCTTTGAGATCTCTCAATGATGTGATAAGGCGCTATATCAAATGCAACAATTCTTATTAATTATAACACACAGGTAAATTATAGAAAGTGATAGATACCTGAGGAGTGATCACAAGTTTGTTTTTTATGGAGCCTTTTTATGGAGTATTCCTTTAATAACTTGGGTTTGTTAATGACCAGGTTAATGTGGTGAGAGGAGAGTTCACACAAAGTCTCAGACACTGTAACAGCCTGCTTACACACTCCACTCAGGCAGAGCCACGTTGATCATTGTGGCCTAGAGCAACGCCTTATCTGCTGCTCTACAAATATTTGCAGTACATTTCAGCTGAAACCAACAGCAGCTGCAGATACGGTCGGCAATGCAATTGCATCCCTTCCCCCTAATACGTCTGTATATTCATACACCGATAATAAGAAGTCTATACCACAAAAAAATGCCTTCCAGCTGATCTCCTCTGTCGATGTCTGTGCTGGTGCTCACTCCCTTACTCGAGCTATAATCCAATTCCTTTGTTCTTATTTAATATTTTTCCTCAAGTACTGTATTTATCCAATTCCCTTTACACTGTTGTGTCTGATAAAGGATCCTGTGAAATAATAATAATCTTGCATTTGATATAGCACCTTATCACATCATTGAAATGTCTCAAAGTGCTTAACAGAATATACTGTAAAGTGGTTTAATTGTATATTTTTGGGGTGAAACACGGCAGCCAATTGTGCACATCAATGACCCACAAACACCCATGGATTGAGTGACCAAATATAATTTTTTGAGAGATTATTACCCTCGGAAAACAATCTACCAATCAACTAACAAGCGGGTTCCTACTTTTTGCCAGGTAAACAGAAGTAAGGAAATTTGCCTAAGGTTTCACCCAGCCCAGGAATCGAATCCAGGTACCCAGGTACTCGCTTGCAAGGCGAGTGCTCTCATCAATACACTAGAGGACTCCACTTGTAAGGTGCTTGGAGATGTTTATATGATAAGGTGCTATAAATATGTGATATGTTTATAAACTATATATATTTGTGGAGTCCTGTAGCTCAGTGGTTAGAGCACTCGCCTTGCAAGTGAGACACCTGGGATCAATTCCAGGCACGACGAAACCTTGGGCACGTTTCCTTACTCCACATGCCTAATAATAATCCCTCCAAAACCCAAAAAACAATAATAAATTGGTCATTTTCAATCCACGACTGGTTGTGGGACACTGCTGTGCGCAATTGACTGCTGTGTTTCACCCACGAATAAACAGTCAATTCACTTTACAGTCTATTCTGTGAAAAGCTTTGAGACATCGAGAAGACATGAAAAGCGCTATATCAAATGCAAGGATTATTATTATTATACAATATATATAATCTAACATGTTCTGCAGATTTAGGTCATCCTGAAAGACTGCGGTTCAAAATGCAGGATTTGGAACAGGATTCATAGATGGATAGAAAGAAAAAGCAGAAAAGGGCCACGACCCCCATTAAGTTCTCTCTTAGCAGAAAAACAGTAGACCCAAGGACAGCAAGGTAAGTGGTCAAGCTTCATGCCAACTGTTTTTTATGACTACAGAGACAGGTGGAACTATCAATCTACCTAGAAGGGCAGCAATGTGCATTTGGCACCACTGGTCTGTATGGATCTTCTACGCAGATTGAAGAGGTCCCACTGGCCAGAAAGGTGTATTTGAAAACAACTGTAATTGTGTGGGTTTGAACACACCCACGTTTCCATTTGTGCTCAACATAAATGAGGTTGAATACCAACACCGGAAGGGTACGAAAAAATATCACACATTTATAGCACATTATATTGCAACACCTCCAAGCGCCTCACCAGTAATTAATGTCAAGTGGAGTAGGCAAACACTGCAACCATTCACACCAGCAAAGTTGCGTGGAAAGATAGAGTGAGTTTCTGACAATGCAGCATTAGTTCCTATTACATTAGAATGGAAGCATTAGTTCCTATTACATTAGAGTGGCAGCGAAGACTAGGAACTCAAGACCAGACAATAGGCTTGAAGCCTCCCACCAGCTTGAAGGATTCAGTTTCATTTGAACCACTCCTCAAGCAGCCTTCAAAACAACAGAACATTAAACAGAGAGGAGACGAAGGCTAGCTGCCTGTAGATATTAAATATGTAGATATGTAGGTATTAAAGGAATTGAAATGTGGCTGTTCATTTCAGATGTGTTTATATTAGCATCCAATTTACCTGTCAACATTGCTCGAACACAAAATAACCTTTCTGAGCTGTAGCTTGCATGAAATAATGATTATTGTTAGTTAACTAGTCCAAAGATGAAACAATGAAGGAAACCTGTGATTTTGGTGCATAAAAAATTGTTCTGATGTAACACACTTGCCGTAAGTAGAGCCCTGATAAGTACTTTGTTTGGGAAATTAAAAATGTAGACGAAAGGTGAATTGGCTCTTGAGGTCAACATGATTGTTTGAATACAAATATATTATATAATAATAGTAATAATAATCCTTGTATTTGATATAGCATTTTTCATGTCTTCTAGACGTCTCAAAGTGCTTCACAGAATATACTGTAAGGTGAATTGATTGTATATTTGTGGGCGAAACGCAGCAGCCAATTGTGCACAGCAGTGTCCCACAAACAGTCGTGGATTAAAGTGACCAATTTATTATTGCTTTTTTTCTTGAGGGATTATTATCAGGCGTGTGGAGTAAGGAAACTTGCCCAAGGTTTCACCCTCCCGGGAATCAAACCCAGGTCTCCTGCTTGTGAGGCGAGCGCTCTGACCACTGAGCTACAGAACTCCACCTGAGCTACAGGACATCACACCAATATTCGAGTGCAAGAACAACAAAACAATAATTTGCTATCTAATTGTCCTACCATGTCTGTATTTGTGGGAGAGGCACTGATACAAAATATTTAGTGATCTGCCTGGCTTAGTTAATAGCACTCTTGTTTCTGAGTGAGAAGGTTGCGGGTTCAAGCCCTATGTGGGACTTTAAACTCATAATATAGGCTAACACTCCAATGTAGTGCTATGAGTCGCTGCATTGTTAGACATGCTGTCTTTTAGATGAGGCATTAAGCCTAGGTCCCATTTTCCTATTCAGGTAAAGATCCGAAAAGATGAGGGAATTTCTCTTCGTGTCCTGGGCCAAAAATCTTCCAAATAAACTATTGGTCATTCACTGCATGGCACTACACTAATTTGTAGACAGAGTCATTGGCAGACGTCTGGGAACGGAGGATACGTGTGCACATTTCACACTGTGTGTATGTGTGGTCAAGACTTAAGGAAGTGGGGGGAAAAACAACAACAACAAGATTCCATTTATAGAGCGCCTTTCACGTCGGGAGGATGTCCCAAGGCACTGGCAATAACTTACATATTGTCGCAAAGGCATCAATATGTTTTAAAGATTAACTATATATATCTGTACACACACTATGCAGATACATGTAAAGTTAGTGATTTATGTCAAGAATACAATACAGATTTATAAAAGGCACAAAAGCAAATACATTATAATATAAACATCAGTTGGTAAATTGTATTTATAGGCATGCATGATAAATAACAGTAAATAACAGTAAAACAAGAGCAATTTCTGTTCAACATTATAAGGTGCAATGCATGTTTACCTCTGCATCCTGCAGGACACCCAGTTTAGAACAGGCCATGTCTGGGCATGTGACAGGAGACCCACAGCCTTCTCGGATCATCAACTCTACATACTGCTTCATGCACTAGGAGCCAAAACAAATCAAAGAAAGCAGGTCAGGTATGTGATACACTAGTGTGATCAGTATCACCTTGCATTGTGTATTACACCAATATGTTGGGGTTTCATATCTGTGGCATCTGATTTAATATAACGCGGGAGTATACAGCACTTGGCCATACAGAAAGAAGGGTCACTTATTCAAATCCCAGTGCTGAGTTAGAGGATGTTAGATGGGACTGCACCTGATTTGGTGCAATTTGAGTCAGTGCCTCTGAGATAGACCAATTCAAACCTTTGTTCACACCCCTATTTACAGGTTGATATAGGGTGAGGAAATCATCAGGTTTGTACCTGAAAAGTCACTCCTTATGAAAGCTCGCATTTGAATTAAGTGCTAGAGGGGCCATTGAGCATGAAATTCATAGAAAATCATAGAATCACAGAAACAGGAGAAGGCCATTCAGCCCCTCGAGCCTGTTCCGCCATTCTATAAGATGATGGCTGATCTGTATCTCAAGTCCAATTACACCCCTTGCCCCGGATCCCTTAATATTTTAACCTAACAAATAGCTATCCACCTCAGCCTTGAAGATGTGAATAGATCCAACATCCACAGCTTTTTGCGAGAGAGAGTTCCAGATTTCCACTACACTTTGGGTGAAAAACTGCCTCCTGATTTCACTCCTGAATGGCCTAGGTCTAATTTTAAGATTATGCCCCCTTGTTCTGGATTCCCCCTCCACCAAAGGAAATAGTTTCTCTGTATCTACCCTATCGAATACCTTTATTACTTAAAAAACCTCAAAAAGATCCTCCATCAAATCACACTGAAGTTCATTGGTGGTCATCAGATGAAATCAGTTTCACAGTCGAAATTTCTATCTCTGAGTCTGTCAGCTTCTTATTCAAGACTGTGACAAAGCTGAGGATTGTGAAACGCACAGGAGCAGAATTTCTGATAGCATCTTCATGGTAATGTGAGCAAAGTATATCAGGAGTCATTTGGCTACATTCTGCTTCTGTTCTGAAACAAAAGTGTTCATAAGAAAAAACTTGCACTTGATATAATACCCTTCATGTCAGGAGGACGACTCAAAACGCTTCGCAAGATATACTGTAAAGTGTAGTGACTGTGTATTTTGTAGTCGAACTCAGCAGTCAATTTCCCACAAACAGCCACAAACTGAAAATGAATTGGATAATTTTGTGTGTTTAGCCCTTCCCCTGAGGGGAGACACCGCACCCTGGACCTGGATTAATATCAAAAAACAATTTGAACACTATCCTTCACTATCAGAATCAGTCAATTATAATAATAAATAATAATCCTTGCATTTGATACAGCTCCTTATCATGTCTTCGAGACATCAAAGCACATCACAAAATATACTGCAAAGTGAATTGACTGTATATATTGTGGGCGAAACCAATTTCACACAGCAGTGTTCCACAAACAATCGTGGTTTGAGTGACCAAATTATTATTATTATTTAATTTTTTTGGGAAGGATTATTACCCCCAGAAAGCGATCTGCCAATCAACTAACAACTGGGTTCCTAATTACTGCTCGGTAAACACAGGGGTGTGGAGTAAGGAAACTTGCCCAACGTTTCACCCTATCCGAGAATGAAACCCAGGTCCTCTCGCTTGCAAGGCGAGTGCTCTAACCACTGAACTACAGGACTCACAGTGCTTTATTTATTCCTTTGGAATATTCCCAAACCATCAGCCCTACACTACAGGGCTTCCTGGGTGTCTGGGTCCAGTACTTCGGGGGAAGTGTTATTAGCCAAGCACGAAAATATGGCTGACGTCTGGGTTTTAAGGTTGCGCCTGATGTCATTTCCTGCCCGTTGCACATGAAGTGTCGCTGGCTTCACAAAGTGATGTCAGCGGAGCTTCCACAAGATCACAAGATTGGTTTGGATGAAGATGGTCATTTGACCCATCTGATCTCATCCCTCCAGAACACCCACCCTACCATCTTCCGATTTACAGCATCATGTTGGCTTTTCGAATGGGTCCAGTTTTCCTTGCCTCAACCATCCTTCCTGGTAATCTGTTTCAGTTTAGTTACCCTCTGGCTAATGAAAACTTCCTGGTATCCGTCCTTAAGTTGCTCTTTGGAACTCTAAGCCTAAATCCTCTTGTTCTGTTGTCTTGTTGCATTCTAAAGTATTTATATGGGTTTGCTTTTTCAATCCCATTTAAAATTTTATACACCTCTATGAGGTCTCCTCCGAGTTATCTTCTCTCAAGACTGAAGACCCTGCACGTAGCAAACAGCCCATGTTAGCCTTCTATACTCCCTGTCATGTCCGGCGCTCAGGAAGTGATGTTTGTGGTGACCTGATGATGTTTCCTTGCCAAAGGAACTTCAATTGCAATACAAACGAACAAAAAAAATCAAGGTAACAGGAAGTGAACACAGCTCAAATTTAGCATTGCCAGGCTGTAACATGACTCATCTATTTTTAGTTTGATTCCCATTGTGCGAATGACATTGATTCGATTTAAACCATTCATAGAAAAACTCCTGTCAACTGAATAAAGCAGGCGGTTTTGGCCTCAGACTATATGCAGCTGCTTTTAAGTGCCCTAAATGACTTCAAATTCATCCACGTTTGTGACATGGTGTAATTTATGCAGATGGCAACTTCCACACGACAGCAGGCAGAGAAATAAACCCGCAATTCAAAGCTCTGAAGCATTTGAATGAGGGGAAACGACTCCCAGAGTTTAATATCAGTGAGTTGTTAGCCTTCACAGAGGAGCATTAAGTATTTTGATATGATTGAAAATTCTGTCGCGTAAGGTATCCCAGTATGTTTGAATCTACATATGCAGAGTTTGGACCGATCCATATCTCCAAGTTTGTCTTACTGTAGATACATCTGGGGTGTCTCCTCAAAGTGAGTTCAGTCCTCGGCATCCGGTTCAGTGCTGCTGGGGCGTGCCAAAAAAAGCTGGGAGAAGGGTCTAGGTATAGTAATGAAGAAACTGGTGATGTGGCGCTAGCACTCGCTGTCCATCACCGTGGAAAAATCTGGTGAGGAATTGGGAGGCCCTTTCGATGTTACTGTACGTGGCCCAGGTCTGGCCTTTAACCAGGAACAACTCCACTGCAGTCACCAGAGACGCCTTCCAACTTGTCTGGGGTCCAAGATGGATCGTGTCCGCACAAAACCCCGGAAAAGGGGGGAAAGGGATCCTAATGTAGGGGGGTACCCTGCGGCGACAGCCAGCTATGTCTGGCAAAATGCCTCGTCACCGGCACTGACCAACAGCTATCAGGTCATTGCCTGGCTGGCGATAAAAGAGGCCCCTCCCCCTCAGGGCTTTCATGCACAGTCGAGGTCTGGGCCAGTCATGGCCCTCGGGCCGGCTGCAGAGGCCAGGAGACCGTGGACCATCTCTTCCTGGAGTGTTCTTTTGCAAAGGCAGTTTGGAAAAAGATGGAATGGATTCTCTCGCGGTTGGTCCCTGGGGATCCGCTGTCATGGCACTCAGTGCTGTACGGCCTGGCACTCACATTAAGACCCAAATCAAGTACCTGGAGGATCATAAACTCAGTAAAGAAGGCCCTTTGGCATTCCCGAAACCAGGTGTTCTTCTGGCAGAACGAGGGGACAGTGAGGACCTGCCTCAGGCTGGCACATGCTAGGTTCAGGGACTATATACTGAGGGACAAGCTGAAGTTCAGCTCAACCGTGACAAAGGCCAGATGGGGTCTGACCCTGGCAGGAGCCTCTCCAGCACAACCCGCTCAGGGCACACCCACCGGGTAGCCCACGAGTGCACTCGAAACTGACTGAAATAAATGTACCGGTTCAGAAGGACGTTCGAGATGTAACCAAAGAGCGTCCTGAAAATGTATGTGTGGTAAACATGTGCGTGTTCGGTGCACATCGGGGCACCTTCCCAAAGCAGCAAATGTGCCTTATCAGGGTCTGTGCGGCCGCGCGCATGGATGTGGTGCACACAGGGACAACTCCTGACTGTGTTAAAGGGAGCGTTCCAAAAGAAATGTGCGTGTAATCTATGTGCGGGGAAGGAATGTACCGTAAACAACGGAATGTTTTTTGTACTGGGAGAAAATGAAAAAAANTTGTAACAGAAGATTTGTGTTTGTGTTGGATTTCTGTTGTACTAAATATTACATTTGTAAATAAATATATTTTCAAAAAAGTCTCCTCAAAAGTGAGTTCACCAGAAAAACCCATTCATTTGGAGACAGCAAGCATGGATTTATGAAAGACATGCTTGACTAATCGTATCAAATTCTTTGAAGTAACAGACTGAACTAGACAAAGGTAATGCAGTGGATCCGGTGTTAATGGATTTCCAGGAGGCCTTTGATAGGGTGCCACATAAGACTCATAGCCAAAATCAGGACATGTCAAGTCAAGGGAGAGGTAGCAGAATACAAAATCACATTCATATAGCGCCTTTCACATCGGGAGGACGTCCCAAGGCACAGGACAGTCAGGGATTTGGACCCAAGCTGGGGGTCGGGATTGGGGAGGATGGAGGGCTGGGAGGGCATGAGGGTGGCTGAAGGCTCAGTCGAAAAGGAGGGTTTTGAGACGCTCCTTGAAGGAGTAAGGGAGGGAGTGAAGCGAAGGCAATGCAGGATGGAGTTCTATAGGACGGAGGCAGAAAGGCTGAAGGTCTGGCCGCCAATGGTGTGGCGGGCCAGGCGGGGGACATGGAGCGGAGGGAGTGGACAGGTTGATATAGGGTCAGCAGGTCACAGAGGTAGGGAGGGGCAAGGCTGTGGAGTGACTGATAGATGACAGGAAAATCAAAAACAAGTAGTGGAAGTAAAGGGTCACTTCACAGACTGGTAAGAAGTAGAAAGTGGTGTTTGCGCAGGGATTCGTACTCAAGGCATAAATGATTTGGACTCAGATAATACAATGTTTGGCGGTAAAATCCGCATATAACACCAAACTAGGGGTATAGTAAAATATGAAGCGGGATTGCAAAAAGATGTAGGAAGATTGGCGCAAGTGAAATATTGTGTGCGATTTCCCCCTCTCTCCTCCTCCTTTAAAAGGCCACTGAAGGGTTCAGAAAGGGCAACAAAGACAATTCCATGACTTGGAGTCCTGGGGACAGAGTCACAGAACTGAGCTTGCTCTCATTTTAAAAAGGTTGAGTGGGATGTGATCAAAGTCTTTAAACAATGAGAGGCACGGGTGATGGAAGGTACCTCATTGACTTGGACCATGAGAGCAGAACTAGAGGGCGTTTAACGTTTATGAGCCAGGCTTATCCCCAGTGGCCAAATGGATGAAAGTACCACCCCTAAGTATAGTGTGCATATACAACCTCTGGAACTCCATCCCGGTACCCCTTTGCCTCGCCCCCTCCCTACACAAATAACAACTGCCTAGGTTATAAATATAGGAGCTTTGCCAACGGCAAAACCTTCGGGTTCTGGTGACCTCCAAACCCACTCAGTCTTACTAATAACTGCATCTGAACACCCAGCCACATTTGATTGCCAGTACAACAAGTACGTCCACTGCCTACATAACAGCCACTGAGTACCAAAGTAACTCACTGGGATTGAATTTAGTAATCCATTCATTATTTAGCATCCATTTTCCTTTCTGCTTCCCCCCACCCTCCCGAGAGAGATGGCGCTGTTTGGAAGCTCCATCTGCAGGACAACACAGAAACTGATCAGACAGTGCACAGGAGTTGTATGTGGGGTGGGGTGGGGGGGGAGAGAAGAAAACCAAAAGTCATCCACCCAACCTCTGCTATCTGATTTACTCATAGCGAAGTATCACAATTTGCTGGTTTTTGGAATTGGCCAATTAGCCACATTTTGCAAATATCACAAATCCAACAGTTTTCCATTTTCACAAACTGAAAATAACAATTAGCACATGAAATCCTCTATGAGAATAGGGAAAATGAAATTCCACTATGCACCCAAACTGTAGATGAGTGGCACTGAGACACTCAGTTTAACACTCAAGGATTACTTTTATTCACCAGAAGATAGGGCGGGGAAGAGTGATGTTACTCAACCTTAAAACATCTCATTAAGTACACAACAAAAATGACCAAATATCCTGTAACAAATATCCTTTGTCAGAATGGTTCTGGGTCGTGGACCCAAAACATTGACCCACTTTCCTTTCTCCATAGATGCTGCCTGACCTGTTGAGTTTTCCCAGCTCTCTCTGTTTTTGTTTCAGATTCCAGCATCTACAGTATTTTGTGTTTTGACCAAATATCCTGTCCCTGTTTTAATTATCACTCAGTCTAATTATCACATTACTGCAAATGTCACTCCCCTGTATCACACCTATTATAAATAGTGTTTATCTGATTCCTCAGCTAACTTTAACAGTATGTGCACAGTTTCAATAGCTAAGAGGAAGACCCTATACTTGCAGTATCAAGAGGAACTTATCTCTCATAACAACTGCTCAACCACAAGTGGAATCTCCCTTAACCCAACTCACCATTGTGCAAAAGGAACAGTCACATTGCTGCAAGGTGGTCATTCTGTCGAAAGAATATTCACAAAGGCATAACTTGCATGTCACCAGTGGGTCTAGTGCGAGTTCTCCGCCAGCTGACAGATTTGTGGTGGTCATTGTGTTATGACACATCTTGCTAACAGACTCCATCGTTCCTTTGCTGAAGTCAGCTGCTGGATCCTGTAAACAATCACAAAAGTGCATGAGTGAGTGAGTGAGTGAGTGAGTGAGCGAGCGAGCGAGCAGGCGGGGGTGTTGTTTGAGTGAGTGGAAAGAGAACAGTACAATGGAACCAAACCTTTAGCTGACAGTTACCCCATTCACTGCTTTCCCAGAAACATCATGCGAATGTCAAATATATTATGCAATGAGTGTAAACGGTGTGTAAATGTGCCATGTGTAATGAGTGGGTTAGATGCTAATTATCTACTATTAACGTTCAGAACCAGAAGAGTGACATTTGGAAAAAAGTTAGGCTGAACATGTACCAATTGTTAACTATGTTTTTGTTGTTCATGAATTACAGCATAAATCAGGGTGTGGTGGTTTTGAAGAATGGGAAAACCAGAAGTAAAATCGGATATCCAACTGGTAGCAACAATAGAGCCAGGCTTCTTTGTGATGATCACTTTTATTTTATTGTTATCAAGAGCAGTAGACAAAACAACAACAACAAAATTATATTTATAGATCGCCTTCCACGTGGGGAGGATGTCCCAAGGCGCTGGACAGTCAGGGGTCAGTACTCGAGCATGGGGAAGGGGTGGTGTAGGGGTGAGGGAAAGCAGAGAGGTGGGAGGGCAATCGAAGGTACGATCGAAGAGGAGAGTCTTGAGACCGGCCTTGAAGGAGGCGAAGGGGCTGTGGGATGGAGTTCCAGAGTGTGGGGAAAGCCCGGCCAGCGATTGTAGGGTGGGTCGGGTAGGAGTCATGTAGCAGGCCAGAGCCCGCTGAACAGAGGGAGCGGGCAGGTTGGTAGGGAGTCAGCAGGTCAGAGAGGTAGGAGGGAGCAAGGCCATGGATTGTCATGGTGCGCATGTGGCAGAGAAAGGACAGTTCAGAGTCAAATAAGACACCCAGGTTCCTAACTTGCTTAGTGAGGTTGAGTGTGCATCCGTGGAGGTTGATGCTGCCAGCGCCCGAGGTGCGAAGGCGCTGGCGCGAGCCAATCAGGAGGGCCTCAGTCTTTCTGGCATTCAGTTGGAGAAACAAAGCCACACAAGACGGTGCTGGGGCTGGAGGAGAAGCTGTTTGCAGAGACAAAGTGGAGGCGATGTGAAAGGTAGGACCTGAACTAGTCAAGGACAGAATATTGAAGGTTGAGGTGGGAGGAGAGGCGGTGGAGGAGGATTGAATGGTCCACAGTATTAAAGGTGACGGAGAGGTCAAGGAGGACGAGGAGGCAGATGGAGCCCTGGTCACACATGGTCAAGATGTCAGGGTTAGCACAGAAACCCGATTGGAGGGACTCATGGAGGGAGTGGGAGGAGAAGAGGAGAGTCTGGGAGGCAATGGCTCTCTCAAGGACCTTGGATGGAAAAGGGAGATTTGAGATGGGCCGGTAGCTGGATAGCTGTGATGGGCCAAGGGAAGGTTTCTTCAAGGTGGGGCTGATAGTGGCTGTTTTGAGGGGGGTAGGAACAGTGCCAGATGACAGGGAGAGGTTGATGATATCGGCGAGTAATGGGGCAAGGAGGTGGAGCTGAGATTTAAGGAGAGGGGTGGGGATGGGGTCCAGGGAGCAGGTGGTGAGCTTCATGGAGGATATGATGGTGATGACAGAGGAGGGGTGACAGGTTCAAATGTGTAGAAGGAGGGATGGGTAGTGGTCAGCGTGTGGTGGGGGTAGAGAGGGGTTGGAAGTTGGGAGGGCAGTGGCAGCTGAGCAGATTCCCTCAACTTTGGACTCGAGGACATCCACCATGAGGTCTCCTTAGAGCTGAAGTGCTTCCACGGTGACATGCCTGGCAGCGGAATGTCAGAATCAAGTTAACCCTGTTAACCCTGGAAGCGAAAATCCTAAAGGTGGTTCTAGCTGGACAAGCAATGGGAAAGCTTGACGGACAGCAATATTAATGCATCTATGCGGTTTTAGTTGATTAAACTGTAGCAGTATCCCAACTACACTCTGGGGTCCCTAAGCCTTGGCTCTTGCCAACCTGCCCTAATACTTTCCGAAATTAGGCAAGCAAGATGGGTCCCTCTAGGGAAAGAGTGTGCATACCATTCCAACAATCCATCTCTGGGATTTCTATGTGTAGGTGGGATGTATGGAAATCACAACTTGGTTTGGATACTCTCAAGCATGGTGATGGGATTCCGCAAGTGTCAGACACCCAGCTGACCAAAAAAAACAGTGAGACACAAGACATTTAAATCCTGTCTGCCAGCAGTTCAGAAAGATGTTAAAGATACCATGACACTATTCAACAACAACTTCCACTTATATAGCGCCCTTCGTGTCGTATCAGAGCGCTTCAAAAAGAGAAGGGAGTTTCTCCCACTATCCTGGCAACGATCCACCAAAATTGCTCATTTACTGAATGTCTCTTTGTGAGACATTGCTGTGTGAAAATTGGCTGTCACGTTTGCCTACCAAATACACAATCACTACACTTGACAGTAAATTCTGTGAAGCGCTTTGAAATGTCCACCCGATGTGAAAGGCACTATATCAAATGTAAAGGTTATTATTATTATGTTACTACAGTTTAAATTACTCTGTAGAGGTAGTTTTCTTAATGGTTTTCAGTGATGGGTCAGCCAGACCAATAACACTAACATTTTGCATATGAATGGATGTATAATAATAATACGCAAATTTTAACAAAATTATTTTTATTATTATTATGATGTGCAGGTTTTGAATCTTTTGATGGATTTCTACATGGGCGAGATTCTTTCTGATTTGGAGATGAGACTATATAATAATAATAATAATCCTTGCATTTGATATAGCACTTTTCACATCTTCTAGACGTTTCAAAGGGCTTCACAGAATATGCTGTAAAGCGAATTGACCGTATATTTGTGGGCGAAACGCGGCAGCCAATTGCGCACAGCAGTGTCCACAAACAGTCATGGATTGAAAATAACCAATTTATTATTGTTTTGTTTTGGAGGGATTATTATTAGGTGTGTGGAGTAAGGAAACTTGCCCAAGGTTTTCCCTGCCTGGAATTGAACCCAGGTGTCTCGCTTGCAAAGCGAGTGCTCTAACCACTAAGCTTCAGGATTCCACAAGACTAAGCAGCCGTCATGTGAAGAACCACAGCCCCATTACATAAGTAACATTGTGGTTCCTAGAAGTTAGATGTAGCATTGTTTTTGTTAGAAATTTCTCTTAAAATTCTGTGGAGTCCTGTAGCTTAATGGTTAGAGCACTCACAAACAGAGGACCTGCATTCGATTCCCAGGCAGGCCGAAACATTGGACAAGTTTCTTTACTCCACACTCTCTGTTCATCTAGCAGTAAGTAAGAACCCAGTTGAAGATGTGATAAGGTGCTTTCTCAAACACGAGGATTATTATTAAAGTCAACACCCAATCTGATGGGTGACAATCTAAGTGAACAGTCATTTTGAGCTTTGTTTTTACTGTGCAAATAATAAGAATTAATGTACAGCACCCTTCACTAATTAATCCCTAGTTTTGCAGTAACAGAAAGCTAGAGAGTCAACTAATTACTGTAACTAACTGGAGTATCAGCCTTGAAACCACCATCCTAGGCTTTCACTCCAATTCAATGCTGGGGACGTTCTACAAGGTTTGGTTGAAATGTTAAACCGATTGTCTGTTCAGGTGGTTGCAAACATCCCTTGGCACTATTTGAAAACAGAAAGGATTTCTCCCAGTGTCCTGGCCAACAATCCCCCAGATAAAATTGGTCACTCACTTCACTACTGTTGGTGAGACATTGCTGCGTGCAAATTGTCTGCTGTGTTTGCTTGCAAATACAGAGTTACTAAACTGCACAATAAATCCTGTGAAGCCCTTTGAGCTTTTGGCAGCACGATAAAGCATGATATAAAATACCAGAATTCTTACCATTATAATTGTGTAGTTCTATGAAATACCTGTCAAACCACTTCAAGCATTCATACTCAAAAGGTTAATCTTGTGTGAAAAAAAACGTCAAATTGATTTCCAATGTATATGGTGGTTTAGTTCTGCCCTCAACCACAATGAACATCATACATTGTGCAAAGCCCTGTGAGTAGCTATGCAACTGATAAACAAACAACACAACATGGTCATCTCTGACACATACAACACTGTACAAAATCACAAATAATCTACCACTTGGAAGAGCTTGCACCACACCTTGTGATTCCCTGCAGCGCACCAAAAGGCAACACAACCAGTTTTACTACAGTACTGTATATGTATTCTGGAAGAGTGATTTCAAAACAGTCAAAGGGCCTGTTGCATCTGAACCTCTCTTGTGACCTCCATCTCCAGGATGTCCACAGCCCATAGCACATTATTCTTCCCTCTCCACTATCGCCACTGACTTTGAATAGTGGAGAAATTACTCACTGGGTATAAAATTGTACCAAAATCTCTTCCTCCATTCTCCCCCCCCATTGTATCATTGAGCCTCAATCTGACCTTCAAAACTATTAGCATTGAAACATTTAAACTCAGACACAATGTAACAGCCAAAATACGGTAGGTCCCAGCAGTAATTTACAATGTTTATACTATGTAGATACTATCTCAATGCAATAGGGACTGCTCATAATGTAAGAAACATTGTTTGAACCAAGAATCACACATTCTCAGTAGAAGAAACAAATAAACATCAAAGTAAAGGCTGTGCAGAACAACAACAAATGGTATTTATAAACTGTAGCGCCTTTCACGTCAAAAGGACGCCCCAGAGCCTTACAGGCTAGGAAGGAACCAGATTCAATCCCCAGGCTGCTGAGTAAGTTGATCTCAACCAGGACAGCCATTGAGCGGTACAACTGCATTGGACTCTATATTTGGGCTAAGCAGAGGAGAGAAAAAAGACGAAGAGCAGCCAAGGGTTTCTATTGCTGATCGCGATCTAGTGATTCCTGTGCGTGTATACCCATGGCAAAAACTACAGTACATTTCACCCATAAAATATACAGTTTGTAAAGTGAATTGACTCTATATTTGAGCTGTGGTTAGAGCACTCGCCTCGCAAGCGAGAGACCTGGGTTCGATTTATGTGAGTGCAAAAATATTAAAATGTGGAACTAGTTATTCAGCGGACTTTGCACATTGCGAGGTTATTGGAGTGTAGCATGAGGTCTAATTTCTAAGACACAACGTCAATGCTTTTTGGGGAAGGAAGTGGGGAATTAAATTCCTCACTGCAACCTTATTCCACCAACATTACTGGCAACTGCTAGAGCAGCCAAATGATCTCAGAAGCCCCAAATTGTTTTATAGGCATTAGTCAGTCACTGCATGGCTGTTTGTGAGATATTACTGTGTGAAAATTAGCTGCTGTGTTTATTGCATTTTTCAGTAAATCTTGTGAAGCACTTTGAGATGTCCTCTAATGTGAAAGTCGAATGAAATGATAATTATTATCGATTTATTTCTGCACCCATTACTTCTGTTTCTGTTCTGTTACATAGACATAGACAGGAAAGAGCGAAATAAAGGCCCAGGTGCCCATCAAGTTTGATCCTGGGAGAATCCTTCTCCTTCCACCTAATGCACAACATTCACCTACACATCTGTCCTGGCGCTCGTCTCTCATTTCCCTCCTAGAGGAGGCAAATAATCAGAGAAAACAAATTGAAACAAGGCTAATTTGGAGAAAGAACAATTCTCTTGGAAAATTCCATTCTGGCTCCCAAAGGCAGTCAGATGAATGCATCACCAACATTACTCAATATTCTCTTTATCCTAGTATTGTACTCCCCAACTGACATCATATGACTCACCGTTGTAGTCTGTCATATTATAGGAAACTTATTTGTGCAACGAACATGTAACTTCCGCCTACCCTATTTGTTGTTTCCTCTACTTACAGCAATGTGAAATCAACAATAGGAACCTCAGATACCTCATCCTTTACCAAAGCACTGAGGCACTAAGGTTAATTCAAGTCCCAGTGGCCTAGGAGGTAAATGTACCAACCAATGAGCACTGGGCCTATAGACCAGAAGGTTCATAAGTGCAATAAACAATTAGTTGCCTTTAATTACCTTCCCTGAATACATTTTCCAACAAAGATTCCTGAATAACTATTTTAGGACTAAAATAAATCTTTCCCTGTGGTCCAATGGTTTATTTTTGGTGGTTATTTATTGACATAATATTGGCCTGGCCTAAGATACAGTGTCAGCTCAAATGGCAGGAGAAAGCTACTAGTTCAGTATTTGTCCTCTTTTTCTGAGGTTTGGAGTGTCCTGTTACCCCTGAAGCATAAGGAGAGCCAATGAGGAGTCTTAGGATGAATGCTTATCCCCATTGTATGGGGCTGCAAGCTGTGCTGTCTCAAATGCAAGGATTATTATTGTTAAATTATTACAATAATTTAATAATTAAATTGCTTCTGTGCCAGTGACGATATTACTAGTTAATGTCTGAAGAAGCCACTTGAGATGGCCCATGATTACGGAGAATGGGGATGTGAATCAATTTAGCTGAGGTTTCCACTGCTGAACACTAGCCATCAACTGGCCCCACAATACTGGAAATATATGAAGGTAGGGCCATTGTCAGTTGTGATGCTCTAATGCTGAAATAACCAAGTCACGTTCGCTGTCCAGGATTTCAAGTGAAGAACATGTGCGTGAAGGGAAGGGGAAACCATTCAATGCCATACCTGAGCAAGACTCAAGAATTTCAAATGAAAGCATAAAATTACAGGACTGGTGGGTGAGGGGAAGAGAAAGTGAGGAATACAAAAACAAATTTAATGGTCAATTCAATTCATTTCATTCTCATCAGTTCAGTGAATGATCCCAGACTATTTCAGCATTTGTGGCTCCCAGCTAAGCCTGATCTAGCCCTCATATATTTTTGTGTTCCTATTAAGCATCAAACTACAGTGAATTCCTAATAACAAGATATTAGCTTCAGTAGTCACTACCACTTAAGCAGCCATGCTGTCAATATCTCGGCCATTTCCCATGCAAAATGTTAATAAGGGCCTCTACTCTACTTCACTCCACTTAATACATAATCAGTCACATTCTAGAAATTCTTGTATGTACTTACAATGTAAAATTTATTGGATAACTCATCCTATAAGATGGTGTCTTGCTTCGCTGAGGCCTAGCCTGCCAACCCTCACTGTCAAACCTCACCCATTAATAATGGCCACTTACCCAAGAGAACTGAGGGTATCAAGCACCCAGGAATCTGTAACTCCAATAGAAAGAAACAAATTTCTTCAATATACCCCCAGGAAAGGAATAGAGATGATAATAGGCCGGAAAAATTAATTGGTTCTCAACTATACTGTCCACTATATCTCCCAAAGGCACTCAACAACAACAACAACAACAACAAGATTGCATTTATAGAGCGCCTTTCATGTTGGGAGGATGTCCCAAGGCGCTGGACAGTTAGGTCGGGACCCAAGCAGGGGGGAAATGGTCAGGATGAGGGGAGGGAAGGGAGAGAGCGAGGAGGGGGTAGATATTTTATGGACACTCCATATATAAATAACCAAACAAACATTTAATATAGTACCTTTCTTCCCGGCGCTATATTAAATGTTTGTTTGTTTATGAAAGCTTTTCATTGGATATTTACAATAAAGTGTAGTGACTGTGTGTTTCATAGGAAAGCATGGCCATCAATTTGGTAACAGCAACGCTCCATAAACATCCATAATAATATAATAATAATAATCGTTACATTTGATATAGCACATATAGCACATTTCACATGCACTTCACAGGATGTACTGTAAAATGTGGTGACTGTGTATTTTGTTGGCGAACCATGAAGTGAATAACCAATCTTATCTGGGGGAATCATTGGCCAGGACACAAAGTGAAACTCCTTTTGCTTTTCAAATAGTGACTTGGGATTGCATATGGAGCGTATGCACGCACTGCATACACAGAATATCAACATGTTAACAGAGCTGCAGGTGTCACTGTGAATCTATTCTTCTGGTTACAGTCAGAGGTCGGTGAATGATGCATCATCATAAGGTAAGAATTAAGGACAAAAAGTGCAGACAGTGGGAATATGGAAATGCTCCATGGATCCAGGCCTGAGATAAACAGAAAATCTACCATTTCCAGCCAGGGTGCAAAAAGATGCAACTACAGTCGCTCAAAAGGTTAAACGCGTTGTGGAAAATACCTTGGGTTGAAAACAAAGTCAAGGAGGAGCCTTGAAAAAACACCGACTTAATCTTGACAGCCAGATTTATCACAGAAAACTGCAGGGGAAATAATGGCATTTAAAAAAATCTTTCAGTTTGGCCAACATATTTTCAATTCCAACCACATTACTTGTGAAGGGCGGGTTTGAATGTTATCAAGTGAGCCCGGCTAGAGTTCAGACAAGGACGGATATCTGAAGGTGAACAAAACAAAAGAACAAAATGCTGTCACTTTCCATTCATCCATGAGCTGTCACTGGAACAATAACTAAATCCCATACAAATTTCTCTCTGTCTCTGTGTGTGTGTGTATGTGTGTGTGTGTGTGTGTCCCTCTCCCCCCCCACTTTCTCTCTCTCTCTCTCTCTCTCTCTCTATCTATCTCTCTCTATCTCTCTATTTACCTACTCTACTGTATGTAGAGTTGCTGTGTCAGTCATTTCCTCAGTTGTATTTTATTTTTAAACAAAGCCCGTGGAGCAAACGTCTGGGATGGAGGGGGGGGTTGGGGGGGTTGGGAAAGATAAAGTGGGGGGAGAGGGACACACACACACACACACACACAGGTAATTATAAACCTGAGCTTATTTTTGGTGCATACCTTGGCCCAGTGGAGTGGAACTGTAGCTCTTTTGCTGGGAGAGTTGCTCAGAGGTTGAGGCGACTTGTCTTTTTAACTTCTGTTGCAGTCAGTGCTGAGCTGATCCAAAGCCGACTTGGACCTGGAAATAAACAACCCCACAGGACCCAGACCCTGGGCGATCCTCAAGTCAGTCAAGAGTCAGTCAGTCCTCCTGCGATCAGTGTACGTGTTGGAGCTGATGGTTTTTTTTCCTCCTCCCAGAGAAAGGTGACTCATCTCACAGCCACAGCCACAGCACAGGGTTTTTTTTTTTTTCCCCCCCACTTTGGGTTCAGGGGCGTCGGATCCTCTCTGGACAAAAGCTGCTCCAGCACTGGAGGCACCTCTGCTCGACTCCAGCTCTCAGCAGCAAGTTACCCAATACACCAGACCACGTCAGGAGCTGCCTCCACCCACAGGAGGTTCTGTGGTTCAGAGCAGGAAGCCTGGTGCTGACTTCCTTCTTTTTTTCTTTCTTTCTTTCTCTCTCTCTCTCTCTCTCTGGCTGGTGAGTACACAGTACTGTACTGTGCACCAAGGGGGGAGCTCACATTTTTTTTTAAACACGTATGAGACAGACAAACAGACAGACAGACAGAGACAGAGAGAGAGAGAGAGAGAGAGAGCTCAGCCTTGCAATCCCCACTGCTCTTGTGGCCAGTCCTTGCTGGAGTCCTTAACACCTTCCTTAATGCTGTGCAAACTCGAAAGTCCATTTTTGTTCTTTTTTTTTTGGAAAAAAAAAGCCCCACTACAGGATCTGAAATGATTTGGGGGTTTTTTTTTCAAAAAAAAATACAACGTCAAAAATAGCAAAGGAATAACATGCAAAATTAGAGATACAAAATGCAAACGTCCTGATTTTATCAACAGAGGGGATCTTTTCTTTCCCTTTTTTTTCTCAGCAAAACAACTTCAACCCCACCCCCCCCAAATAAATGGACAAACAAGTGGTTCACTCTCAACTCCACTTTGTTGCAGGAGACTGCTGAGAAGCACTCAGTGATCGCCTGTTTCTTCTTACCAGTCTTCTGTCAGTGAGCTGGCAGCTCGCCTATATATCTCACAGGACACATTAACCATTAGGTGGCTGCACTCCAGGACTCCACCCAGTGTCAAAAATGCTATATAAATGCAAGTTGTTGTTGTTGTTGCAGCCTTTGAGACCATTCTCTGGTAGTCGAAACTGCTAAGGAAATCTTAAATGTCCAAAGATGGTTTAATTCCTATGAACCACTAGGAATTCATCCTTTTGTTTAAAAAAACTGACCGCAATTGATCTGGCTGTTGGGAGTTGGTTATTTATAAGTTGTATTTTTAAAGAGACTTTTTTTCACATAAAAAAAAATCAGGATTCGATTACCATTGCTATTTCCACTAATGGGGAGTCAGTGATCCCAGTAATAAAATAGTGGCAAGGAAAATTAAAGGAGAGTTTAGCTGAATTTTTTTCACACAGAGAGTTGTCGGGATGTGGAATGTCCTGCCAAGTAAGGTGGTGGAGGCAGAGTCAATTGTGGGTTTCAAGAGGGAAGTAGACAGGTATATGAAGGGTAGAGAGGGATTTGGGTATAAGACAGGGCAGTAGAATTTAATAATACCTTGCTCTGAGACCTGTGCAGACTTCATGAGCCCAATGGCCTGTGCCGTAAATATCTGATTCTGTAATACTTGTTTTTCATAAATATGGTTTCACAGGTATCAGTTGCCCTCCAGAACCTTGTTAGAGTACCCATTCCTCCTCTGATCACTGACAACAAATGTCGACAGGTCGTTTGATCATCATAGGGCATCAAAGCCGAACCCCGTCTTCTCCTCCTCTGACATTCACATGTGGACTCTCCTTCTTGGTAAACAGAAACTCCACGGAGCTTTGTTTGACAACAAAATATCAGAATTGAGTCAACCTTTTCTGTGGTGGCCGAGGTCGTATGGTCCTTGAGTCAGGTGAGTTCTCAGTTCTCCAGGTCATTGCCAATGACAGATCAATCAGCCTGGCTCATCAGCAGGATCTGGATGGGCGGATTGGGAATTTTCCCACTCAGCTCCTGTTAATCCTTCAAGCCAAAGCCCTAACAGATAGGATGGTCTTAGCTAGACAAGCCAAGGGAAGCTTGTTTATTATTGTTATTATTATTATTATTGTTTATTATTGTTAGACATTGCTCTCAATGACAAGCTTTGTGGTATTAGCTGGTTAAACTCCAGCAGTACTAGCCTTTCAAGTCTATATGAAAGAGTCTTTAGCAAACCTGTTGTTTGGAAATGAGAATATGTATTATTGTGATCATGCTCATGTCATGTTGACAATGTGTTCAAATGTAACTTATATTATTCCATTGTTTGTTTGTAAATAAATAATTAAATAAGCAGTTTTTCATGAAGTTGGTCAGCCTTTCGGTAGAGATAGATATAAGGAATAGTTTAGAAAACTTCTGAAAACTCCACCATCAGTGCTTTAAGCCTTCAAACAATGTTCTTAGGAGAGATGCCTTGCTCTAATCACAAATGAGCAAATAGCTGTGCATGGAATGATAACAATAACAGCACTTTATACAGTGCCCTTCATGTAGGATATTGTTTTGGAGTGCTTCACAAATGACAACATTGAATGCTGAGCATTCTTTGACCGAGCCTTCAGCTCCCCTCTCGACTCTCTACCCCCTCCTCGCTCCCTCCCTTCCCTCCCCTCACCCTGACCATTTCCCCCTCCTCGCTCCCTCCCTTCCCTCCCCTCACCCTGACCATTTCCCCCCTCCTCGCTCCCTCCCTTCCCTCCCCTCACCCTGACCATTTCCCCCTGCTCGGGTCCTGACCCAACTGTGCAGCGCCTTGGGACGTCCTCCTGACGTGAAAGGCGCTTTATAAATGGAATCTTGTTGTTGTTGTTGTTGAGCAAGCGAGAAGGGGGAGGAGTGAAGGGGAGATGAGCAATGAGTAGTTTTCTGGGAAAGATTTAAAGATAGGTAAAGAAGCATGGTGTTCCAAAGGTTAGGGGTGTAATAGCTGACTTGATAAATGCACAGCTTTACATATTATTGTAGCTAAAGAGAAGCTATCATGGTTCATAAGTATTCAGAATTTTTTAGTGTAAGATATCAAATAATAGGCTGTAATGAACAATTTGTTTAATAACGTTTTGAATCACGAGTTAAAGATGACGCTTAACATTTGTCAAAGTGGTCTTGGCAACTTCCCATCAATTTCAGTAAGAATAATATCTACATAGAAATTGAAATTAGAGCATGGAAGAAGGCTATTCACCCCATTAAGTGTGAACTTACAGTACAATGCGCTTATTTTTTCTACAGTTGGACAGGATTCCCGTGTTAAAGTCATATATAATACCACATTTTGGCCACTTGTAATTGCCATACTCTCCAGAATAAAGCAAACTCTTCTGATATCAAGCTGCTTTTCTTAATATCTCACAAAACAGTTAAATAATCATTAGCCTAAAAATGCCATTTGTCATTTTGCTCCTCAACAAAGGCCTTTGCTCTAAGATTGAAACCTTTATTTGCTTTCATTATCCTGGGGCCATGATGAAAGTACAGGTTAGCACGTCTTGATTAGGTTTGCATTTTCTGGTACATTTTTTGCAAGCAAGGCAACATTCCAGTGGTATGTAAGTATGGTGATTGATCTTTTAAACTCACCTTGCTTGCATTCATTATATAATAATAATCCTTGCTTTCGATACAGCGCCTTGTCACATTGTCAAGCCGACTCAAAGCGCTTCACAGATATACTGGAAAGTGGATTTGCTGTGTACATTTTGTGAGTGAAATGTGACAGCCAGTTTGCTCACAGCAATTTTCCACAAACAACCATGGAATGAGTGATCAATTTTATTTGTGGGACACCAGGAAAACTCCTACCCTTCTCTTTTTGAATAGTGCCATGGTATCTTCAACGTCCACCTGAACAGGCAGACGGCACCTCAATTTAATGTTCAACTGAAGGACAGCTCCTCTGACAGTGCAACACTCCCACAGCATTGCATTGGATTCTCAGCTTAGACTATGTGATACCAAGTCCTGATGTGGGGCTTGAAACCAAAACCTTCTGACTCAGAGGCGAGAGCGCTATCACTGAGCCAGGCTGACACACAATTCTAACAGAAGACTCCCGCATATAGCACTGTAATGAATTTCCGAGGAAGGGTAATTATGTGGACCCAAATAAACACATGCTAGCACATTCCTCTATCTAGCAATCTATGCATTGCTTAAACATGCAGGTGTGTTCCTTTTGCCTACAGCCAAAGCTGCAACAACAAACTATGGATTGCTGCTCCTAGATGAAAAGATATTCCCTAATACACTGTATAATTCCTGAAATTCTGTATTAAAGAGCAGTAGAGGTATCAGATCCTAGTGCTGTCTCTTGAGTGCAATGCTTTCACTGGGATTACTAGATGAAACATTATACCAAGACCCATCGGCCTGTTTTTCAGGTGAGCATTAAAGATTCCAAAGAACTATTCAAAATAGAAAGGTGTTTCTACAAATAGCCTGCCAACAATCCTCCAGATTATTTGCTATTCACCTTAAGGCCATGCGTGAGGCTTTCCTGCCATAAAACACTGTCATGTTTGCCTTTTAAAAAAACAGGTATGATTTATTGCTCCTTCCTAACTTTGCCACCTACGGACCCCATATCAATTTGTCCGCTCCCTCCACTCAGCACGCTCTAGGCCTGCTTCATGTCCCCCGTCTCGCCCACCCCACCATCGGCGGCTGGGCCTTTGGAACTCCATCCCATATTCCCTTCACCACACTTCCTCCCTTGCCTCCTTCAAGGCGCATCTCAAAACCCTCCTCTTTGACCAAGTCTTCGGCCATCCTCCTACTCTCCCCACCCTCCCCGATCCCGAGTCCCAGCTCAGGTCCAAACCCCTGACTGTCCAGTCACTTGGGATGCCCTCCCAATGTGAAAGGCGCTATACAAATGTATTTTTGTATTTGTATCTGTACACTTGACAGTAATTACTTATGAACTGCTTTGAGACATTTTGTTATGTTAAGGAGCTACAAAAGTGAAAGTACTTTTTTCTGCCTTTGCCACGGAATTTGCCAGTGAAAGGTTTTTGCAGTAAGCGATCAACATAAGATAGAACCCACTGAATGTCCTGCCATGCACAGCTCCAAATGTACCTCCTACATCACCACTCATTAAGGACTGAGATTCTTGCCTCATGTCTGAGTCCACTGCACCCTGGAAAGATCAGAAATAACGAGGGAGACAGT